AAGGAAGGAAGGAAGGAAGGAAGGAAGGAAGGAAGGAAGGAAGGAAGATGGAATGCAGGCAGGCAGGGAGGGAGGGAGGGAAGGAAGGAAGGAGAGAGGAAATAAAAAAGGAAGCAAGGAAGGGAGGAAGGAAGAAAAGAAAGGGAGGATGGAAGGGAGGGAGGGAGGGAGAAAAGGAGGGAAGGAGGAAGGAAATAGAAAAGGAAGGGGGAGGGGGGAAATAGAAAAGGGAGGGAGGGAGGAAGAAAAGGGAGGAAGGGAGGATCAATGGGAGGGAGGGAAGAAGGAAAGGAAGGAAGGAGGAAGGAAATAGAAAAGGAAGGGAAGGAGGATGGAAGGGAGGGAGGGAAGAAGGGAAGGAGGGAGGGAGGAAGGAAAGGAGGGAAGGAGGGAAGGAAATAGAAAAGGGAGGGAGGAAGGGAGGGAGGGAAGAAGGAAGGAAAGGTGGAAAGGATGAAGGAAATAGAAAAGACAGGAGGGAGGGAGGAAAGAGAAAAGGAAGGGAGGGCACCCAGCAATGTTCAAGTCTGAATATTTCAAAATGTGCATTTGGGTGTGTATCAGTATATCCTGAATATCTGGTTTGAAGCAAGCACACCTATTTATGGCCAAGCTTACAGAGTTGGACTTCCTTTTGGTCATGGTTTCATGTCACAACTTCAACTCCCCGGAACCTTCCCTTTTCGACCTCAGAAAAAAAAGTCAAATATTGGTCATTTCCTGTCCCCAGGAGTGCTTCTTCCCTTCTACAGTGGGGACTCCTGGGCCAGAGATGATGTGCATCGCTCCTCCGTCGAGGCGGGTGTTACACCCCATAAGTCGAGGAACACCCTCCCCAAACCAGTTTATTCAGATGGAGCTTCAAAAGGCACACCTGCCAGTTTGTTGTGGAGAAGTGAAGATGGGAAGCCAAATGCAGGCAGTCCTCGGCTTATGACCACAACCAAGCCCAGAATTTCAATGGTTAAGGGAAACGTTGGTTAAGGGAGCTTTGCCCTGTTTTACGACCTTTCCTGCCGCCGTTGTTAAGTGAATCACTCCAGTTGATCAGTTAATAACCTGGTTGTTAAGTGAAGCGTCTTGTGAATTCCGATCACGTGATCACCGGGGACGCTGCAATGGTCGTAAGTGTGAAACACGGTCCCAAGTCACACTTCTCAGGGCCGTTGTAACTTTGAACAGTCACTAAAGGAACTGTTGTAAGTCGAGGACCACCTGCCTTGCAGGGACCTCTGTCAGAAAGCAGATAAAGTCACCGGGAATCAGATGCCATAAAAGGGCAAATAAATTAAGGTTCACTGTAGGCTGCCAGAGGTTTATGCTGCATCTGGCATTTTTGTCCTCCTACCATGTCCTTCCCAAGGGGCAGCTTAATAGATAATCAGAGTTGGAAGGGACCTTGTAGGTCATCTAGTCCACCTCCACGCCCACCAGGAGACCCTACACCATTTCTGACAAATGGCAGTCCAATCTCTTCTTGAAAGTCTCAAGTGATGAAGCTCCCACAACTTCCGAAGGCAACTTCTGTTCCATCAGTTGATTGTTCTCACTGTCCGAAAATTTCTCCTTATTTCCAGGTTGAATCTCTCCTTGGTCAGTTTCCATCCATTATTCCTTGTCTAGCTTTCAGGTGAGACTCTAGAAAAAGACAGAGAAGAGCAATCAGGATAATAAGGAGACTGGAGACTAAAACATACAATGAACTCTTGCAGGAACTGGCTAGTCTAGGGAAGAGAAGGACCAGGGGAGACAGGATAGCATCTTCCAATATTTGAGGGGCTGCCACAGAGAGGAGGAAGGGGGCCAAGCTATTCTCCAAGGCACCTGAAGGTCAGACAAGGAACAGTGGATGGAAACTGAACAAGGAGAGATTCAACCTGGAAATAAGGAGGAATTTTCTGACAGTGAGAACCATCAACCAATGGAACAGAAGTTGCCTTCAGAAGTTGTGGGAGCTTCATCCCTGGAGGCTTTCAAGAAGAGACTGGACTGCCATTTGTCAGAAATGGTGTAGGGTCTCCCACTTGGGCGGGGGGTTGGACTAGATGACCTATAAGGTACCTTCCAACTCTGATTATGTGTTAAATTGAGGGTGCTTTTGAAAATAGCTTGACCTCTTCCTCTCTGTGACAGCCCTTCAAATACTGGAACACTGCTATCCTGTCTCCCCTGGTCCTTCTCTTCACTAGACTAGCCATGCAAACATTCTTCATATGTTTTAGCCTTCATCCCCCTAATCATCGTTGTTACTCTTCTCTGCAGTATTTCCAGAGTCTCAGCATCTTTTTATAGTGTGGTGACCAAAACTGGATGCAATATTCTAAGTGTGGTCTTACTAAGGATTTATAAAGTGGTATTAGTACCTCCCTTGATCTTGATTGTGTTTTGTGCCTGCGAGAGGCAGATATTTGTTGGTCTTTGAACTTTGAATGTTTGCTAAATGAATTGATGTAAGTTGAGGACTACTATGGTACCTGTACGACAAAGGCCAGAATTACGCATGGCACTATAAATGTTGTGGTGTGTTAGGAGTTGGGTTGTGTGTGTTGTTGGATCCACCACTGGATCTTGCAATACGTGGCCAAGCCAGGTATTTGTGGTTTCTTCACAAATCATGAGTCAACCACAAAGCCCATAGCAAAGCCACCAACCTGTCAGTTTTGTTTCTTGTTTAACATAGCACGGTAGAATAAAATTTAGTTCTCGGGTGCACAGAAAATCCTGACCGTATTGTTTTGGGAAAAAAGTAAAGAAGAAACCTGAAAAAGAGGTAAATCTGAAAGAGATCCATAAAGATTTTTTTAAAAAAATATTTATGTTTGCTTCACAAAGGAAAATGCAAAGCAAAATCATGAAAAACCCCTATGCTAATAAAAAAAATATTTAAAATCAGCATGGATGTGTGCATTTATTTGAAAAAAGACAATTCAAGGACTGTACTGTTCACTTGAATATGAAAGATTGTGCATTGTAGATACCCTTTGAAGAACACAAATAAAAGAGAAAAGTTTTGGAAACTTCAGTAAATCCAAAGGACAACCTTCTGAAAGAAAGGAATGTCCTTTGTAACGATGGCAGTTGGTAGCCATTGTCACCCAAAGGAGAAAGGTAAAAAAGATCCAACCAAGGAGAAATTTCCTGACAAGGATAATTAATGGAATAGTTGGTCACCTGGAATTGTGGGTGCTTCATTGCTGGAGGTTTTCAAGAAGAGACTGGACAACCGTTTGACCAAGGTGGTATAAGGTCTCCTGCCTTGAGCTGGACTAGAAGACCTCAAGGATCCCTTGCAGCCTTATGGTTCTATGTTCTACCACCAGAAACAAGGCTACCAGTATAGTTGGCATTATCTTCACAGCCATTTCTCCAGAATTGGATAGGGTCTCCTGCATGAGCAGCGGGGTCAGACTAGAAGACCTCCCAGCTCCCTGCCAACCCTACGATTCTATGTCCCACCACCAGAAACAGAGCTGCCAGTAAAATTGGCATTCTCTTGACAGCCATTTTGTCTGAAATGGTACAGGGTCTCCTGCTTGAGCAGCGGGGTCAGACTAGAAGACCTCCCAGCTCCCTTCCAACCCTACGATTCTATGTTCTACCACCATTCTGTTGACAGCCATTTTGTCTGAAATGGTAACAGGGTCTCCTGCTTGGGCAGGGGTCTGGATTAGAAGACCCCCCCAAGCTCCCTTCCAACTCGGGTACAACTATGAACTCCAAAGTGACAAGGCTCAAAAACTTTGCCAGAAATTGTGGGTTAAGTTGCCAACAGATCAGGAGGAAAAGAGAAACGAAGGCGCGTGTTTTCAAGCCTCTCGGAGTTAGGGGGAAGGGGGGGGGGGAAGCAGAGGCAAAGGCTACCTTGGCAGAGTTCTCTCCACCCCTCCCCTCCTCAAAAGTTGGCTCTCGACCCTCCCTCCGCCTGCCCTCTCCTGCCCACGTGCCTGGGTGGCACCGGTGGCCGTGGGAATCCCCAGCAGGAGCGGCCGATGCCTTAGTAACGGGCGCCAGAGCTGCTTTTTTTTTTTCTTTTCCCCGCGGTGCCCAGGCAAAGGCGAGCCAAGCGCCCGTCCCTGCCGAGACGGGGAAAATAGGTAAGCGCCACCTCTTCTGGGTGGGACCTCCCAGCGGCTTGGCCTGGGCGCAGCGCACCTCGGCTGCTCGCGCAGTGCCAGGCAAAGAGCTCTCTTTGCGCGCCCGCTGCACCGCGCCTCCTGTCGCCCGGCCGGACTTGGCCGCAAGCCGAGCCGCCCCCCGGCCCCCCCTTTTTTTCTCTCCCCTCCAACCCGGGCCGGCCTCGCTCCTCGGGCAACCCAAGAACCGGGCAACCCCATCGTCCACACAGGACCTAGCCCCGCCGGCCCCGCGTTTGCCACTGGCACTGCAGCTGCTCGGGCCGTTTGCGGAGAAGCGCCATGCATTCCCTTTTCAAGAAGAGGAACCGAGGCAAATACAGCCCCACGGTGCAAAAGAAGAGGTGAGGTGGGGGGGGGGGGGGGGTCTCTCCCCGCGGGGGGGGGGGGTGGGGGAGTGGGTAGGTTTGTGGGTGGGTGGGAGATGCGCGGAGCCCCGCGGGCTTTGGGGGTCCCTGCTCGCTTCGGAGATCAGCGGAAGGACGCTTTCCAAAATCTTTCCGCCTTGGAGCTAACGGAACGGGAGCAAGCTGGGGTGGGGGTGGGAAGAGACGCTCCCCCTCCCCAATTTTCTTTCTCCTACTTTTAAACGGGGGCGAAGTTGGAATCAAACTTCAAGCGACTTTCTCCCGTGCTCTAAGAAACGTCTCCTCTGAGGGCAGTTCTGCCTAATGGGACAAAGCGAAGGAATGATAAGCCAAAAAAAAAAAAGAAGCTCTCTGCACATGTTCTATCAGGCTCGGTTTGCTATTGCTCTTGGTGCTCTCCGGTGACAGGAGCGTTTTCTGGCCCTGGATCTGTGGTTTTGACTTCGGGCATTTCGAAAAAGGACATTTTTGGCCAGGGACTAAATGCAATCTCTTCTCCTGTCTGGTTTAACTGTGTTAAAGGCTTGGCTTGTGCAAATGTGGGACCGAGCCAGTTAAAGAAGAAGGATTGGCTTCTATTGTGTTGAAATGACCTCCAGATCCTATCTGTTGGTTGATTCTGGTGACTATCTTTCATGTCACTGACATAAAAATAACTGGATTTGCTAGACGTTTGGGTTGTTGTGTTGTCTGAACGGAGCCATTGTCAGGTGTAAAGCAGGATTTTTGACTTCAAGGGCCACGTGAACCCAGCCAGCTGGGCTTATCAATAAACTACAGTTAAACCAACCACGGTTCAACCAACCAATCTGTTGCATCCATAGTATATTTCTGGGTATTTGGCTATGGTTGTTTGTGGCTTAGTGCTGTAGGTGAAACCTACCAATGGTGCCTGACTCAAGAAACGATGATTAAGCAAACCGAAAGGAGTGAATCTAGACTTCATCTGCTCAAGGTTTATTTTGATGGCTGTTTGGGATGTTCCTGAACTGAGCCCTTGACCCTGAAATTTCAGTCCTTAGAAAACTTTTAGCAGCATGAGTTTGGAGGGGTTTTATGTAGATGTGAACTCTCCTATGGTCTCTGGAACAGTCACCTAAGAGAAACGAGCATCAGATTTCAAGCTTTAATTTTCCTCTGCGGCATAGTTCTCTCTCTGCACTTGGCACATTCCAGAATTTAATCTCTCTGGGTGTGGTTCCATCACCCTCCCTCCCTCCTTCTCATCCTCTTCTCTCTGTTTTGACATTTGCCCCAATCTTTTTCCGGGGGTTTATCTTTCTCCAACGGAAGAATGTGCCTTGATATGCCTGTCAACTCATAAAACATGATTTAATTAGGGTGATTGCTAGAATCCTGACAGCTCCCTCATGAAAAGGACAGCAGCCCATCTTGACATGGAAAACTGGGGTGGGGTCCACGAGGTGCCTTCCCTCCCCACCCAGAAAAAAATCAGGCTATTGATCTGCCCCATCTTCCCTGATGCTGCTGGCTAGGGGATGATGGACATTGACATTCAGAGCATCGGAGGCCACCAGTGGATGCAAAGGGGTTTCTGTTTCCTGCATCTCAATTTGGAGAGCCAGGTGTTTCCGAAACAAAGGATTAAGAAAGGGGGACCTGGGTGGACAGGCTCACCACCACGGTACGGTACGAGGAAGGTGACATTTTTTATCAAGGTCTTTTCTTAACACAAACTAGCCAGGAAGAACTCCTAATCTGTTTGTCTCAAAAGTGCTTTTTCAAGAGGCAACTGGTTTTTCTTTGAAGGCATTTCGCTTCTCATCCAAGAAGCTTCTTCAGCTCTGAAGAAGAAGAGCTGAAGAAGCTTCTGGGATAGAAGCGAAACATCTTCAAAGAAAAACCAGAAAGTCCACTTGCCTCTTGAAAAAAAAAAAAAGCACCTTTGGGACAGCAATGACCAGGATGGCTGAGAATCTCCATAGATTCCTAGCCTGTTTGCTGAGGCCCATCCTCAGTTTTAGAAGAGAGCAACAGGTGATGATGTCTAGATGATGCTGAAGACAGCATCATCCTAGCTATTGGCTAGGCTACCCAAGGCTGGTGGGAACTGGATTCAGCAAAATCTAGGTTCCTGTTGCAAATCCTCCTGAAAATCAAGATATTAGCTACTCCAGCATGGGCAACCCCATCACCGGCTCTCTGCTGAAATAGGAGAGTTGTATCAGTTGGGTAATGAAATTCTCTGGGCCTGGTAATTGATGCACCATTATAAGACAATACATGTAGCTCAGGGTTGATCTGTGGGGCCCTTAATTTAGCTCAGAGAGCACCAAGGAATCTAAGGAATGGATATTTGCAAAGTTGGGCCGAGCAAGGATCGATGGACATTCCATCCATATCTTCTAAAAACAGGGATCCACCTGATCTTTGCCTCTTAAAGAAAAGAGAGTTAGAAAGAAGATTATCCAGAAGGAAGTGTCCTCAAGTATGCCTTGTTAAGATGGAGCTCAAGAAGAAACATATTCCATTTCCTAGATTTTATACATAAGACCTTTTCCCTTGCAATCCATCCAACTAAGAAATCTTTCTAAGAAAATACTTTCTTAATTCATGTTGAAGGCAGTGTTTCTTAACCTGGGCACTTTGAAGCTGAGTGGAATTCAACTCAATGCAATGCTGGCTGGGGAATTCTAGAAGTTGAAGTCCACCCAGCTTCAAGTTACCCTGGTTGAGAAACCCTGGTTTAAAGACTTGACAAGTTGCTCCATTTAACTTATGAAGCACAACCTGTACGCTTGTTTTTTTGTTTTGTTTTTTGCACCCTAAGCCAATGCTTTGCCTTTTCTTACATTTCTCTACTAAATTGCAGAATGGGGTGTGTTCAGAAGGAAATAAGAAAGAATAATCTGCAGCAGCTCTATGTTAAAGAAATAACCTTTTCATATCATTCTTGAACACCAACAGCCCCTTCTGTTTAGCTTGATACTTTTTATGCCAACAAGCAAACCTGCCAAGAATGACTACGATGCCCAAAATCTTGCAATTTTAAGCTATGTTTATATAATCCACTTTTTCTCCTCTTCCAACCCTGGTGGCAGTTCCAAATTTCCATATAAGAGGGCTTCAGTTCTTGCAAACTTCTGGGAGAGCTTTTAGAGCAAAAAAGATGATAAGAGATCTGGAGGCTAAACCCTAAGATGTATGGTTAAGAGAAGTAGGTATGTCTATTGTCACCAAAAAAAAAAGAACAATTAGGAGGGCACATGACAGCTGTCTTCCAGTATCTGAGGGGAAGTTACAGAGAAGAGGAGATTAACTTATTCTCCAAAGCACCTGAAGGCAGGACAAGAAGTAATGGGTGGAATATCATTAAAGAGAGGTCCAAGCTAGAACTAAGGAGAAATTTCCAGTGAGTGAGGACAATTGATCAGTGGAATAGACTGGAGGTTTTCAAGAAGAGACTGGAAATGGGATGGTTAGTGTGACTTTCCATCTTTGTGCATATCAGATTCTCATTGCTGTCAACATATTTACTACCTAAGTTCCAACTTTTCTTTCTCTTTGTCCATCAAACCCAAAAGGAAAACTTCTGGTTTCAGTTTTATGTTTCTTTTAAGAATCTGATAAAAATCCGATCTCAATATTTCCTGGCTTAATCACAGGGATGATAAAAAGTGCCCCCTCTCATATTTGATTGTGAAGTGGGTTGTTTGGTTCTCTAGATGTGGCTACAGAAGGGTAGAGATTTATAGACCTGGTCTTCTCCAAGAAGAATTTGGGCCTTTTTGAAAAGGAGGAAGGATGATGTCAAAGTGAACAAGTTTTGACAAATTCTCATGTAGGGGATCCACAATTCCTGGATGTTCTATCACTAGGATGTTCTACCACTCCATTGGGATATGGTGACTTATCAACGCTGCATGTATTTATGTAAATGAATTCTTCGAAGGCCTACGGTGTGGATAATAAATAGACTCTCCTGTTTTTTATTTTTAATGGGGCATTCAGTTTGATTTCCTTTGGACTATGGGATCATGGCTCTCTGTCCCATTGTATAGTACAATGAATGAGCGACCAAGAACTCAGTGAATTGAATTACATCGAAACATTTGGTTCTTCCTGATTTTGAGTGGCCACTGGCCAGTTTTCCTTCAGCCTTTGAAGGTACATATTTCTGAGTCAAGCTTCAAAACCAACATTTGTTGAGATCTTGTTAGTTGACTGTATGGTGGATTTCTAGTATCAGGAACAACCCTGACGGAGAGAAAAGACAGTGGAAGATGTAGGGGTGTCTGCAGGGTATGGCAAAGAGGGAAACCAGGATTATGAGATTGATATTCCGGAAACACATAAAAAATAGACAAAGCTTCAGTCCAAACACCCACCATCTTTATGGACACTTTGACAAGCTGGCAAGAAAAGTACCGCTCCATGTTTGATCATGGACGACAAATAAATGTTGATTGACATCGATCAACTGATTGTAGCCTCTAATTCAGGGGTCTCCAAACTAGGTAAGTTTAAGACTCGTGGACTTCAACTCCCAGCATTCCCAAGACAGACGTTCTCCATGCTGGCTGGGGAATTCTGGGAGTTGCAGTCCACAAGTCTTAAAGTTGTCACGTTTGGAGACCCCTGCTCTAATTTCACCCCATTTTTGCAGCATTAGAGCAGGTAGATATAGAAATGGACTAGCAGGAGTTTCTTTTAGAATGATTTTTTGGGGAAAAAACTTTCAGTTCAATTTCCTTCCTCAGGCAAAGCCATCCAACAGATTCTTCATCATGTAGTTTTATCTCTATTCATTATAGTTATAGGTTTCGGCTTATGGGAGCAAGCCCTGCCTAATCACACTTTATTCAGTAAACGGATTAAATAAATCAAAGCTTTGTATACTGTGTGAACTCAGTCAACCTGTATTTGGGACTGCAGGTAATCCTTAACATACGACTCCAATTATGACTGGCATTTTCATCATAAGTCATTGCAGTCCTAAATTACATTTGAACTCA